GACAGAAGCAACCTGTCCCTTCCACTGGTTTTAGCCCTGCCCATCTCTGGCTCTGACCCCAACAGGCACCAAGATTCAGCTCCCAACAGACTCCCAATGTGCGAAGGCAGCCTTTGACTGGAAAAAAGCCACCCAGCCCCATCTACCGAGGACCTCACTGCACAATGATGACAGCCCACGTGACTTGCTCTTGCAGGGTAGTTTTCACCTTCTTCAGTGGAAAGAAGGGAAAAATAATACCTACGCATGTGCAGTCTGAAAAGCCGCAGGGCTTGGTCGCCGTGTTCTGCTTCATGCACTGACCCAACTACATTGAGTGAGAATGCAGGCGATGCCTCTCAGCCCCCTTCATGGGCTCCCCATGCCCTCCGGCGTCTGGCTGGAATCCCTTGTCGGTCAAGCTCCCCAGAGCCTCTCCCACAGCCCAGCTGCCTGCCCTTATTTTGCTCCTCCATTTGCTCCACCATTTTGCTCCTCCAGCTCAGCCACCCTCAGCTGCCTTAAAATACTCTGCCTGTTCTCCCCTAATGCCCCCTTATGGTGTTCATGTGTCCCCTCCATGAAGGGGTTGATCAGCCTTCTTCAACCTAGCACTTTCCAGATGAATGGAAATAGGGATGAACAATCCCCATCATCCCCAGCCAGCATGGCTATGGGGGTGATGGGAGTCATAGTCCAAGAAATCCAAAAAGAAAAGCCACACTGGTTTGTCCTCCAGCCCTTCTGTTCACAGAAAAGCCAACCAGGTGCCTACGGGAAAAATGGAAGGCAAGCTTGAGCCCAACAGCACCTGCCACCCCATCTTCCCCAGCAACTGGTGTACATGGGCATTCACCCTCTGACACTCAAAGCAGCATGCAGTCACCAGGCGTGCTAGCCCTGGGCAGCCTTCTGCTCTATGGATCTCTCCAATTCCCTTTTAAAGCCATCCTCATTGACGCACACCACCGCATCGTGCGGAAGTTCATCCGTGCACTGTGTGAGGAAGCACTTCCTTTTATCTGTCTTAGTCTTCCACCCTCCAGCTTCATAGATGGCCGCTTGGAGTTCCAGACGTATGGGACAGCGAGAAAAAGGCATCCCTCTCCACTTTCTCCAACCACGCGTAATTTTGTGTGTGCCTATCATGTCTCCCTTTGCCCACTGTTTTTCCCATGTTAAACGGTCCCTCACAGGGGAGTCATTGCAAGATGATTTGGTTGCCCTTGTCCCACTTCTTCCAATTCTACAAGATCCTTTTTCAGGTGTGATGACCCGAACTACGCACAGCACTCCAAGTGTGACTGTACCACAGAGTTGTTTGGAGCAGTAGAATGCGGGCAGTTTTATTTTCAGTTCCTTTCCTAATTATGACTAACACAGAATTTGCCTTTTTCACAGCAGCCATCCACTGGTGGACATTTCCTTGTGCTCTGCATCACAGCCCCAAGAACTCTTTCTTGGCCAGTCACACTGAGCTCAGAACTCCATCAGCTTATACTTTAACTGATGCTTTCTGGTCAGGGTACAAAAGACAAGTCATCTTCTTTAAAACTTTCCTCAAAAAACTAATTGTTACTGTGAGACTTTTGGTTTACTGCCTAAACTGTCACCCTCAACTGAAACTAAACTTAAGTGCATAGAACGGCCTTTGCTCACATTCCCTTGTTGCTCTTTTCTTCATCTCTTTCTGTGTTCGTTCCCCACAGAGCATTTTACCTTTGCAGGCTCCATGGCATTAGGGCCCCTCTCATTTATTTATTTATTTATTTGCAGTGAAACCGTGTTAAACTCACGCACTTCGATGCTGTGCACAGTCACAGACTGAAACAAACAACTGTGCTCAGTCTATCCTAAGCTGTATAAACATGCTGCAAAGACTTCTCTTAAATCAGTAAAGTTCTCAAAAAGGACCTTTTGAGCAGCTGTGACAACCAAAGTCTCACGGAGCATGGATGTGTGTTCACACTGGCACTCACGACTCTAGTGAGTCATCCAGGACAGTGTATGCACACAACTGTGTGTACGCACCCACAGAAGGTACCATCCTCTGCAGAGCAAAGAACGAGAGTCAGAAGACCACCTTCACTGAAAGGTGAGTGGTGACACTGGCTATTCCAGTAAAAATACCTGACTGGCCAGACCAGGTATCGAATTCAGTCCTAAGGAAGCCTGATTTGCATGCTGCAGGTTCTAGCTTTGGTCCTGGCATCATCAGTTAAGATGCTCAGATACAACAACACTGCCAACAACACTGGAGCACTGCAGTCAGTCAGACTCGCCAGCACAGGACTAGAGGGACCCATGGATCAATACCACAAAATGCATCTTCATATCTCTGTGTACAAATGCCAATACTCTAGTAGTGCAATTGTTTACCCAGCGATCTTTTAAAAATCACTACTGTTCCAAGTGCGTAAGAAATCCTGGCCAGGAGAATGGTTTGTTCCCCGGAAGTGGGGGACCAAATCATTTGCCAATCAATTACATTTAAAGCTTCTACTCGTGTTAGAAGAGGGAAAGAAAATGAGCTGGTTTCAATTATGGACTCATTTATGCCAAAATTCTTGCCAAAAGTTATAATTCAACACAAGAACATTAGCTGCTCAGAGCTTCATTGAGAACAAGGGCACGTAATCGATGCCACATAAGTGATGCACAGCAAAGAGAGACGCCACGAGCAAAGAAAGCATCCTTCTCTGGGGGAATCGCAGTTATTGCATAAATTTGATTTGAGTTGAGGTGTTTTGTTTTTCTAATGCTGATTTTAAGAGTGCCTGCGTGCAGGGGGTCCACCAACCCACATCCAAAAGGAGCATCCCTCTGTAACCAGCCTTGTGCCACATTCTCCTAAAATTCCATCTTATTTTGACCAAGAAACAGAACCCAAGATGGAAAGTGTGCGGGTTGGAACAGGGCTGGCTATTAATGGATTACTCAGAACACGCTCTCTTTGCAAAGAGTATTCCTGAGTGCTTCTAGTCTTTTCCCCCTGTGCCATATAAGTGAATGGCTGCCATTCATTTGCTTGGGGAAGTATCTGGTGCTAGACTTGTGGGCACAGCTTCACGAAGGCCACACTGGCACCTGGCCTGACACCTGATCCATCATGGAGATGTAGCAGAGGCCTTTCCTCCATGATAAAGGCACAAGATTTGCTGAACATTTTAAGTCAGGACAGAAGTTGAGGAAGCCAGGTGCAGTCCCATCCACAGCCATTCTAACAGAATTTGAAAGACCTTTAGCTAGTGTAAAATAAAGCATACAGATTAGTTTGGCAGGGGAGTGAACTTGCCCCTTCCCCAAACAAGAAAGTAAGTTATCTTCTGTATTTTACAAAGGAAGAGTAAAGTCATAAATACTGGACTAGAAGTTATGCTTCCAGGAGCTCCCTACCCAAAGTTTTTTGCAGAGCAGTTACAGAGAATTTCCACACACCTCCACCCCAGGTTATTCTGTGTCTACCCAATGTCATCACTTCCATCCTAAACCCAATGCGGTTTAGTCATTCTCTTGGTGCATTCCTTGAGTGAAGGAAGAGTCTGCAGCTGAAGAAGCAGACCCACCCCATTCAAAGAACAGCAACATCTATAAGGAACAAGAGATTGAAGAAAGAACTTTGTTGTATACCTGAGATAGCAGTCAGGCACTTTTAAAATTAAAAATAACTAATTTTTAAAGGTCACTGAGTATACACATACAAGTAAGCATGTCAAAGGGATCCATAACAGAAATCCAAATAAGTTTGGATTTCTATGAATCTCACCTGTGGATTCAGCAACAGACCAGCTTTTTTCTAGTTACTTGAGGACCAGTTTTTTTTTTTTTTTTTAACTTTGCAGAGGAAAGGGGACTATGCACTTGCGCACTAGCACATTCATGCTCATGCACATTAGCTAAACATAGAAACAGAGCGAGTCAGAAGGGGCCTCCCAGGCCAACTAGTCTGACCTCCGGCACCAGCCAGCTCCGCTCACAACATGCCCACCATGTGCACGTCCAGCCTACCCTTGAACACCCGCACCGATGGGGCCTCAACGACCTCTCATGGAAGCGCATTCCACACCCTCAGGATCCTGACTGTCTGCACAAGAGTGCATTAGTACCAATGCACACAAGTGCTAACTTAAATCAGCACAAGTAGAATGAAAATCAGGTAAAAATCTAATTCCATCAGTGAGAAGACAGCAGGATAAAAATGCTTGCCCAGGTGTGAAACACAATCAGAATGGAGTTATCAAAATGTGCACATTCTTACCTACAAGGTACCCTCTTTTTGCAAGAGGGAATTTTGATCACATAACAAAGGCTATATTACAGGCCTAGAAGGCTGCTATGCAGGCTGGGTACTTCAGGTTACAGGGGAGGCCTTCTCAATCAGGTAGGAAGAAGCAGGTATCCTTCCGCCAGCGTTTGGAACCAAGTACGTGCTAAGACCCCTTGAAATCATGAAACAGGTTAGAGATGTTTATGGGGCTGGGGATGGAAACAAGATGCCCTTCCTCTCTAATGCAACCCTCATCTTCACAGACTGAAAGCTAACTGCACAAACCAAGCAGATACTTTACCCTAATGGAAAGGGTACATTACTGTGCATTTAAAATGTGCACAGGAGGAGAAGCAGGGCTTCTGAACAGAACTTCTAAGTCCATTCCATGCCCCGATGGTTGTTCTGCGATGACAAAGAGGGCCAGGAGGACAGGAGTGGCTCTCAGAAAGGATGAGGAGCAGGCACAGAATGCCCGATGCAGCAAGGGGAGATGTGCACCGCCAGAGAGGGTCCGTCCACCACTACTCTCCAGGAACTGTGTGAAGCCACCAGGTTAGAAACGGAGAGGAGAGGCTGTGGAAGTGTGAAAGAAGCTGAGGGGGGTGGAGGAGGCACCCCTGCCACAGCTCAGAGGTGAAGGGCAAGGCAGGAGAGCAGAGGAACCCGCCCGCCCCCAGCGAGGGGCAGAAAGGAGGAAGGGTCTGCCATTCACAAGTTTGATAGCACGGGGGTCCCGGACACGGACGCTCACCTGTAGGCTGCCACAGCCCGATTCTGGAGGTATTTCTGAGCAGTCATGACTCCCACGAAGAGGAAGTTCTTGGCCGCGGGGATCTCGCCGCGATTCTCAGCAGGGTCCTGGTGCCAGAGCAAGCCCCCGCGGGAATCTCGGTGCAGCAGCAGCGCCCCGCCCGCTTTCAACCGGCACCCCTCCAGGCTGGCCTTGCGCCGGTGTCCCGCTTTCTTCAGCTCCGAGGCTCGAGGAAGGATGAGCCGAGAAGCCAGGATGAAGCCCAGGATCAGACCGAGCAACACGCTGAGCCAGGAGCGGCGGCTTCTGCCAGCCATTCCCCACCCCCTGCCTCGGCACACCCCGGGCCCCCCAAAACACACTGCGCGCCTCCCCCGTGGCAACTCTCTGGGCCGGGGCACCCCTCCTGCTGTCCTCTGGCAGGAACCCTGCCCCCCGGGGCTCCCCAAGGAAGCCGGCACCTCCCGGGAGCTCCAGGGCCCGAGAAGGGTTTCTTAGCAGGCCCCCCACCCCGCCCACGCCGCTGCCTCTCGAGACCTGCCGGTCCTCCCCAGCTGGCCACGCCGCTGTGCGCCCTCGCCTCCGCCGGGTCGGGGCCCCGCTTCCCCCGCCTGCCCCTTCCCAGGCCCCGTCACCTCCAAATGCTGCGGGATTCCTGCACCCTAACTGACCACTCCCACCCCCAAACACGCACGCAGCCGCCCGAAGCACTCTCGGAGCGAGGCGCCCGTCTCCTCACCCAGCTGCCCCTCCCTGCAGCAAAAGGCCTGCTTGCCCCCTCCCTTTGTGCTTGAGGCGACCCCCCAAAAGATCTCTCCCCGCCCCTTTCCGTGCCTCCTCCCCGCCGCCCCTCCTCCCCCCCCTCCTGCCCCCCCCCAACTCCAGCTGGGACACCCCCACCCGCGCGCCCCGGCCCCGGCCCCAGAGCGCCCAGCGCCCCGGGCAGCGTCCCTCGCCCCGGCCTCGCTCCTCTCCTCCTAACCGGCCCGGCTGGGGTCCCCCGGCGGGGAAGGGAAGTGCAGCGCCTGCGAGAGCGCAGCGGCCATGGGGACCCTCCCGCTCCGCCTCCTGCTGTGCCGGGGAAGCGCGCTTTGTTCGGGCGCCCCCGCCCCCGCTGCCTCCGCCTCCCTCGCGGCCGCTAGTGCTGCCGTGGCTCGCCTAGACGCAGCCCTAGGCCGCCTGCTCGCCGGGTGCCCGCTGCCTCCGCCCGGCCTGCCTGCTGCCGCCGTTCCTCCTGCCCGGCCCGGGGACACTGACCGCGCATCCCCGCACGGCTCACTTCGCCATTGCGCGCCGGGGCGGGAGGGAAGGAGGAGGAGACGAGGGCGGGGCGGCGGCGGGGAGGGGGGGGAGGAGGAAGGCCAAGCCCCTGCCCACGAGCTCCCCGCCTGCCAGCTTGTCTGCCCGCCGGCCGGCCGGCCTGGCTGCCGCCGTGCGCGCCGGCAGCCAGAGCGCCCTGGCCGCGCGTCCCGGCCTTGCCCAAGTCGCTCGCCCTCCACGCCGCAGGCTCCGCGGGGAGGAAGCGCGCCTCCTTCGCTTGGGAGGCACGGGAGGAGGAGGGAAAGCAGCTGGCGGAGAAAGAAGGGGGCCCGAAGGGGGGAGCTCGAGGGGACGAAGGGGAAGATTCAGGGGGTCCTGGGGGGTGGGGGGCATCGACATTGAGATTGAATGCGGGGACCTCAGAGGGGTCGGCGAAACGGCTTCATTGCATCAGAGGCACCGGGACCGATGCCCGCGCAAGTTACTAGCCCTCAACGACAGCAAATGATCGTCTTGCTTAAGGGACAATCTTGCGCAATGGTAGACAGAAGAAAGCGCTAGAGAACAATACCCGCGTTCCCCTGCTAGCCATGGATAAGAATGCACCAATGCCTTCTCCCTTGGACGTGAGTTGCCACCAGTAAGTTGGGAACTGGCACATTTCCACGTCGGAGCTATTCCAGCAGTGTGTCTCCTGATAGCAAACCGGGGAATTTTGCAAGCACAAACCGATGGAGAGCTATGATCTTGCACCCACCCGACTTCCCCCAAGCATTTGCCATTCAAAGATTCTTTGCTTCTGGGTACAGAAGTTTGTTTGTTTATTAAACTTGCCTAGATTGGGCTGCAAGTATTCGAGGTCCACAATACCTGAGGCACAACCTGGACAGGTGTGAACACATTTAGCAGATGGTCGGCAGGCTTAAATCCACACAATGGGGGTGCAACTTGTTTAGACTGCAGTTCAGCACCATCCCCATGCTGTGCAAATTGCCTAGCTGGGCCCAGGGTAATTTGCTGCTGGAGGCAAAGAGGACACCCAGCCTCCCCATCCGAGCTGACCAGAGTGGCAGTTGAATGCGCTTGCACAGGAAGCGGTCTCCATGCAGTCCCCATAGGCCCTGGGGCAGCCACTTAGCTCACAAAATGGCACATGCAGCCTGGTCCTTCCGTGGCTGCTTCCTAACATGCACCACTTGAAGTAACTCCCAATGGTAGTGCTGGCCCCAGCCATAAGGCAGTTTCCTACATAACACTTTTATTTTCTGCATTGGTGTACTGCTCGATTTCTAGAGAGTTTATCTGAAAGCTAAAACAGATAAAAGAATGAAAGCAATGCATTAAAAACAGGCTACTATTAAAACTGTGGCTAGTCAGCAAGGAAGGTTTTCCAAAACAGCAGTGTCTTCAGCAGGGACCAAAGCAACGTACTGTTGGAAGCCAAAGCAGGGAGGTGCACAGAAGTGGAGGCACCACATGGAAGGCCCTTCCTGGTGGACTCCAGTCAGGCTGAAAGTTCATATGGAATCACCAAGGCAATGTCCTCTGGGCAGTTGGTACAGGAGATGGCAATCGCTGAGGGACCCTGGCCCCAGGTGGCTTCAGGCTGGAATAATACCGGAACTTTGAAAGTGGCCCGCTGCAAACCCTCAGCAAAGAAATTGTGTGCTGAAAGGGGGCAGCTCCTCACAGTAGCCAAGCTGCTTCAAATTTGCATCTCTTAGTTGAAGTGGAACGGAGCAAACTCGATCATGCCAGCTCCTCAGCTCAGTTCTTTGGCTGAGCTGCACTGACATATCATGTGTTGGTCACCCTGTATTTATCCCTGATAGAAGCCCCCCCCCCCCCGCTCCCTGTCAGCCAGCAGCCAACCCAAAAATGCTCTTGACATAGCTTCAAATCCTACAAATTCCAAATGAGCAGGCCTTCCGATAGCCACTTCCAGTGAAATATTTTGTATCCTTAAGCGTTAGACCTTCCGTAGGGCAACTCAACCAAAGAGCCTGGCTAGGTTTCCATTTTGAGACCATTTTGAGCAGGATATCATAGTGCATCAGCAAATATTTGCTACTTTTTCGCTGCTGCTCATTGGAGGACAGGGACAGGCACCCTGGGACCCTGCTGATGTTTTGGATACAGCTCCCACAAGCCCCAGAAGCATGGCCAGTAGCCTTGGATTAGTGGAGTTGCGGTTGTCCAATCCTGTCCCACAGGTATCACAACCTGCGGCTATCACATTACCTGCCAGAGCCCGGTCTAAATGTCCGCAGACCATCTTTCCTGTCGTCTTACAACTGTTGACGATGCAGATATGACTCTCGGCTGCAACTCCATCAGCTTTACCCCCAACCTCTACCAACCTGCTATTCTGGCATCTTGCCTGCTGAAGGGATCGGGAGATCCTGTGCATGGGGTGGTGCGTATCCTGGAGTGAGTCTAATGGAGGCTTGGTTTTGGGACTGCATAGCAATACCTGAGGACATACATACACAGCACAATTTAAGGTGCTTATAATGAGGACAGGCTGGACCCCCACATGCAAGTCACAGAATCATTGACTAGTAGAGTTTCAGCACAGATGGGCAACTTTGGGTCCATTATATCAAGGAAGCGCTGCTCCCTTTCCCTAGCTAATCAGCCTTCAGTGGATTGATGCGGGGAAGATCCGTGAATCGGTACAGCATAGGGACGGTAATCTTACTGTGGGGGTGCGGGTGGGGAGAGTTTCACCTTGTTTCTCTCCCCAACTTCCAGTGACGCCGGTATGGGCAAGATCACACTGGCAGTGACCTGACCAGTACTGGGATCACTGGGTGATTATGAGGGTGATGATGCGCATCTTGCACTCCTGTGTCACCTTTTTTCCTCTCAAGAGGAACCCAAGGTGGCTTATATAGCTCAATTTATGCTTGCAACAACAACCCTGTGAGGTAGGTGGGCTGAAAGTGAGTGACTGGCCCAGAGTCACCCCATGAGCTTCATGACCAAGCGGATCTCCTGGGTCTCCAGTCCAATACTCTATACACCACACCATGTATGAGTGGAGCGAATAAGAGAGACAGAGGCAGAGAATGTGCAATGACAGAAGGATGGGTGCATGAATGAAGAGGTGGGTGAGCAAGAGGGAGGTAGCCCCTGCTCACACCAGTAATACGAACCCCCAGCAGATTTCCTGCACTGAAAGGCTCACAATCCTTACTGAAGGATCTCTGGTCACAGGGAATCCACTCAAGACCTTGAGACATTGGAGTGGGATGGACTGGGATAGGCTGGGGGCCTTTGGGGTGAGCGGACACCCTTGCAACTTTGAGAGCATGTGGTGGGACAGCCCCTACAAGGCTGTCAGGGGTGGGGCTTGCCCATGCAAACAAAACCCGCTGCTTCCCCCAAAATTAAGCTGGTGACATTGAGGGTGGCGTCTGAGTTGCAAAACACAAAGTGCTTTTGGAACTTGGAGATGGTGCTAGAGAGCGACAGGTTTGCTTGCAGCAGGCCAACTATCCTGCTCAAAACAGGCACTTTGTTTTTAAAAAATGTTAATATGAATCAGGAGGGGTGGGGACCTGGCAAACACCAGCACACATCTCTGCTGGCACATTGGTGCCCCCAGGATGGCAACCCCAGCGTTGGATGAGACACCTTTATACAGGGCCAATTCATGTGCTCATAGCTCATTGCACTGAAACACACTTTACAGTCAAGGAGATGTATGTTACACATTTGTTTTCAAAACAAAAATAACCTTTGTGAGGCAGCAGCTTTCTCAGCAAGTTGGCCAATGTCAGTTTCATATTCTTTCCTTGGCTTGTGGGAATGCAGTCTGGCTACCCAAGGCACTGAAATGCAGCCAGGAGGCAAACTTGGTCAGTTTGGGGTTTTGATCAGGACATTATCTTCAAGTACCCTTATCGGCATTGCAGTGTGATCTGGTCCTTGCGTTCCTTTGGGGTCAGCATCCAAGGGCTTACGAGTCAAATGCAGCCTGCAGTCAGAGCCCCTGAAAGCTCTTCCTGTTGCAGGGTGCAGTGTCAGAAAGAAGCTTATTCAGCCCAGGAGACAGACAGAAAGGGAAGGATAAGGAAGGGCCTTTGTGTTGCCTAAAGGATCCCCTAGATAAAGAACAAGGGGTATGAGGTTACTGAATGGCTCCATTTCCTCCTTGTCAAGCACTGCTACATTATTCAATACAGCAC